TAAATAAAACCTATTTAGTCACTCTCGCCTTGAAAAGGCTTCTTCAGTTGTAAGGTTCAAGGAATAAGACTGCAGGGAGGAATTCCACTACACAGCCGTTCGGCATATAAATGTGGAAGCGTTTGTTATATTATAGTAGTGACGTTGTAGTTTGACATCATCGAGTATATAATCAGAAATAGGGACGAAATAACAGCCATCCAACCCTGGCAACTGATCAGGCAAATGGGCCTTGTATCACTTTTAAATATCAACTCTCGTTTCCGCTGAAATCACAAATTAGAAAGCTGAAATAGTACAGCGCCAACAACTGACCTGTGTGTACGTCTCCGTATATTCCAAAATATTCCGTATTTATTGTAATAAAGATAATATCTCTAACAATGTTGGACTGTTCCATTCGGTGGTGCGGGAAAACAGCAAAACATCTAATTACAAGACAAACGGAATTACATTTCATCGGCAATTAAATATTAAATTTGTAATTTTTCAATTTAATGCATAATAGCAAAGCTCAAGTTAAACTAGTCAATTTGAAGTGAACAAATTGACGACACCAGTCAATTGTTTCGAATTCGGACTGGCCAATCGGAGCGCAGATGTCACCGTAATGATTTGGCAGAATAGTTTTCAAACAAATTAAATGACATTTCGTCTCTATTTCTGGTTATCTACTCGATGTTTGCATTGACGTTGAAAGTGGGAATAACTATTATCGTGCATCTTTACGTAATATTGAATAAAATTATCAAAAATTTTCAACACTATTTGTAACGGAAAAGCAAAACTTTCCACCGTAACAAGAGTACATACTATGAAACACACAAGTCTTCCTTATTGCCTACTTTAGTTTCATGGAAATAAATTCGCGCGGTTTGTATTCGCTTCCAGTTAACATTGTATTAACGATCTTGTTCCTATATTTTTAATGACAGCACAAACGTGACTAACGTTGTAGTCTGAATCTAACAAGGCCGTAAGTTCTGTATGAACTAAATTAACTTTAGACAAACTCTGTACATTCTCACAGCTCAAACAACCTCGAACCTCTGATTAATAGTGTAATTTATTTAATAACACTCGAAACTATTTTTTCGTATCACATATCAATCATTGGGACACGTAAAGAGCTCAAAAGGTCGGTTAGTTTCAAAAGACGCCTTAGAAAGAAGAAAAAACTTACCTAGATTTCTCATAAATGAGCGCCATTTATGAGAAAGTTTTTTTTTCTTAACAAAAAACAAAACTGTGCAATAAGCAAATGGAAAAATTCGTAAGGTCCGGTTTATTCCTTAGTTCAGTTGGAAGGGCGAATTCCCTGTACTATGTAAGCCAGAAATAATTGACTGACCCAGACTAGTACCAACTTGGAAAAGTTCATCTCGACATCCGAGAATCTGCCTATGCGTTACTGGCCTTTGATAGCCCTGTTGACTCGCTTTTCGAATAATCCCATGTCATCTGTTTGCAATTTGTCAGGTCTCTACTAAAAGTAGCCTACTTAATGCCGGAGAGGAAATATTCAATATTATTATCAATTCATCATTTCAATTCGAATTTGCTTCGCGTCCCATCCTACATCCCGGTCACGGCCATGCCAGGGACTCCTCATTATAACGGATTGTTCAGTTTCTCGAAATGTAAAATAATGTAAGACCATTATCTTGTGTCCTTGCTTTATTTTTCTAAGAGAATTCACCTATTTTTTTTGCTTAAGTAGGCAAGATGGGCAAATAGCCAGG